CCACCCTCTGGTTAATTTTTTAACTTTGATTCTGGAAAACTGGTAGAGAGGCTATGAGACCTGATAAACCAATTTGACTTTAGGTAATTTTGTCGTTGGGAGACATCGACCACAGTGGGGCCAACCCTCTTCCAGTCCATCCCGCACAAAATGCAATGCATACCATTTTCCTAGTTGTTTCTTTCTTTTTAATATTTATTTTTAATTACAGGTGGACACAAGATCTTTATTTTATTTTTATGTGGTGCTGAGGATCGAACCCAGTGCCTCACGCCTCACGCATGGTAGGTGAGCCCTCTATCACTGAGCCACAACCCCAGCCCTTCCTGGTAGTTTCTTCAAGCCCTTTTCTGATTACCTCTTCCTTTCTTACAAATGTTAGAAGTGAGGCACTTAAACTTTTTTTTTTCCTAACTTGTTATAACGACAATAATTATGGTAACACTTAACATTTATTGTGCAACTATTATGTGCTAAGCAATTAACCCTTTCCACAGACCCCAGAGCTGGATGCCACTAATGTTTATAGTTAAAACAAACTTGTAGCGCTTTAGACAACGGATTGGATGGAACACGAACAATCCGTCCGTGGTACCAGGATAGCGCCAAGAAAGGGTAGCATTCAAGAGCCGGATAACGGAAAGGCAAAWGGTAGTGGAAGCAAACGTGACGCCTGGAGGCTGCGGCGAAACCGCGAGTGCCACGCGGAGGGCACGGCAGCTGGAAGGCGGCCTGGGAAGGTGACCAGCGCCACGCAGCCGCCGCCTGGCACGGCCCCGGGGGCTTCCCGGGCAGGAAAGGAGGGCTCTGYGGGCGCTGACGAGCGGGGGCGACGGCCGCCGGCGCCGCACCGCCTCAACGGCGGCGGCTGAGAAGAGCGCGGGAGGAAACCGGCGTCTCCTGGCCACCCTCCGCGACGGTCCCGACCGCAGACCCCGGCAAGGGACGGGCTCCCGGGGACCGTCGCCCTGCCCTCCGCCCTGCCCGGGCCGCTTTCAGAGCCCGCGGGAGGAGGTCGGGACTCCCGGGCAGCGTCCTTTTGGCCATCTCCGCGGCCCGCCGGACTTCGGACGCCGCCTGCCGGGACGGGACTCCGGGGAGCGTCCCAAACACAGACGCCCGGCTGCCCCGCGMGGGGGGCGCGTCCCCTGGAAGGGCCCCAGCGCTGCCCTGGGAACGAACACGAGAGCGACAACGGTTTCCAACCCAGGCGGACGCAGCACTTGAGAGAAGCTAGGCGGGGAAGCCCTTACCTCATGGCGGCGGGGCTCTGCGGGCCGTCCTGGGCGGCGGTGCCCTCGGGCTCGCTCCACAGCACCCGGCGCCTCGGCTGTCGCGGCGGGCGGACCGGAGGCGAGTGCGCGTGCGCGCGCTTCCCGCCTGGCGTGGGCAGCGCGGGGACTCGGCCGCGCGCAGGTCTTTGTTCAAGGCTGGACCCGAACGGGAAAAGAAAACTGGAAACCGAATCTGATCCCCCTGGGCGCCGAGACCGGCTCCAGAAACCGAAACTTAACGCGAGCGCGGACCTGCCGCGGCAAAACCTTTGCTGAGCGCAGGGTCGTTCTGAGTTGGGTTTGCAGCAGGGCCTCTGACCTGCTGCATTTCATGTGCCTCTCGGTTAACTGTCCAATTTTTGTCTATCATTATTTTAAGCAAAAGCATCAGGAGGTTGTTCAGCGTTATTTTTGTTGCAATTGTGGTAACGATGCTCTCTCCAGCTCTCTACCATCYAAGTGAATCTGAAGTCTCTGCTTCCGGTCCTGTCTTTTGATACCACCAGCCACACTGCAGCGCTGTACACCGCTGTTCTTACTTGGTATATTTAAAACAGGAAAAGTTTGTTGTCAAAATGCATATACATTTTAGGCTTTACAAAGAGGTGTACATTTCCACGCACAGTTGTATGAGTGTTATACTTCTGTGCCCTTGCTGCGGCGCTTTGTGCAATAAGGTCCCAATGAAGATAAGGGGTGGGGGTTGAATTGGGGACCTAAGCAGAAAGTGTCAAATTTCCATACATTAAGATTTCTGTGCTCATTGGATTCAGATGTTCGTTCATTGAACAGATTTTATTGAACAACTCCTAAGAGCCAGACTTGGTTCAAAGTACTGTCAACATAGCAATAAATAAAACAGATGAGGCCCATACCTTCATGGAGTTCGTTTCTGGTGTGGGGTGATAAAGACAATAAGCAAAACCTATTAAATGCTGGTACTATGGGGAAGAGTCGAGCAAAGAGAGGGTTGGGGGTGTAGATTGTTTTATAAATATGGGGGTAATCGAAGGTTTCACTGAGAAGATGGTCATTGCACAAAGATCTGAAGGGGATGAAGGAGTGAGCACTGTGGATATGAGACTGGAGAAAAGCATTCCAGGTAGATAAAAAGGTAGGTGCAAAGGCCCTCAGGGGGGAATATACTTGGCAAACATGAACTTTGTGGTCAGAAATTAGGTGGGAGAGAACATGGGCGTGGTAGGCCTGTAAGTTAGAGTACTGCTTACCTGAAGTCTGAAACCAAATTTTAGAAAATGTACTCACAGATTTATTTTGCATTGAAAAATAAACCCAGAATTYCCATCTTGCCAAGATTATAGAAAAGTTTGATAAAGCTCTGATGTTTGAAAAGTTTTCCCATACACCCGTCATTTTCTTCCCCTTATGTGTTCCTACTTCTTCTCCTTCCCTTTTCTTAGCTGTGTATGGGCTAAGAAATAGTTTTTGTTTATAGAAGTTTAAATGACCATAACTAACATCAGTGGTTAAAAAAAAGTCAAAGGGAAAAATTCTCGGATATCTACTTACATTGTTTAGAAAAACACAAATCATCTGTAAAAAGTGTTAAAGGACTACATTTTCAGGACTGAAAAAAAAAGACCTGGCTGTTGAGGGAGTGTGTTGAACATGCTGAAATTACTACATGGAGTTTGAATACCAATCTTTTTTAAACAGACTGTTGAACTGAGCAAATCTTGAGAGAATCAATAATTCATTGTCTTTTGAACATTATGTTTATCAACATGTAAAATACAACAACTGGAGAAAAGGGGAACAGAAAATTAAACACAACTGTTGTAAAACCTGCTTGGGAAACAAACATAATAGGGATTCCCAAAGTAGTCCTTCAGAATAAACACTGACTGTCAATAACTTCCAAGAAGTAGATGAAGTCAGACTTTCTCAAACTTGGCACTAGTAACATTTGGGCTGGATAATTCTTTGTTGTGGGAAGCTGTCCAGTACATTCTAGGCTCTTTAAGCAGCATTCTTGTGTTCATCCACTAGATGGCAGAAGTACCCCACAATTGTGATTCCTGCCCCCCCCCCCCCCCCCCCCAAAGCAACAACAACAAAACCCTTCTGACCTTGTCAAAGCCCTCTGGGAAGCAAAATCCTCACCTCTCACTACCCCCACCCCACCAGGGTTGAGAATCCCTGCTGTAAATAATACCATCATTTGTATTTCTAATTAAAAATAATTATACCTCCTGCAAGTGATCTGAGGCAGACTTCAGGTCAGAGAGGAAAAATGAATACAGATCAAGAGATGTTGGGCGTATATTGATATTTAGGAGGAAGAGGCCTGAGTAAAAGTGGAGGTTTCAAGGAGTATGTCCTTTAGCATGGAACTTCAGGATGGAAGTGGTTGCCATCACATTTGGTCTAGTTGGAGCAAGGCACATAGCTGTGGCCACAGGCTGATGATGGTGGTTATAGTTTGAATATGGTTTGTGAGTATGTCCCCAGTGTGGTGATGTTAACAGGTGGTGGAAGCTTCAAGAGGTAGTGCCTAGTGAGAGGTTGTAAAAATGACCCCTCTTCCCTCTCTGACTTCCTGTCTGGCTGTGTGATTGCTTCCTTATCTGTGCACTCCATCATATCATACACCATGACATGGTACAGTTTTTTTGGGGGGATGACCTTGTTAGAGCCTATGCTATACTATTTGAATTTTCAGCCTCCAAAACTGTGAGCTAAGTAGATCTATTTTTTTTATAACTTACCTAGCCTCAAATATTTTGTCATAGTAACAGAAAATGGATGAATAGAGAAGGTAATACTAGTTGGAGKAGGCTATAGGGTAGACTGATTCCCGAAGCAGTTCATGAGAATGGAATACACTGGTGGCTAGAGTGGTCCACAATGGACTGGATCCTACAGTGAAAGCAATTAGCAAAGGCCTGGGCTTGGGCACCTCAGGAGTCAATCTAAATGAGAGTACCAACTGAGGATCTGTCAGTCATTTATTTGGAAGTAATAAGTTCCTAAAATTCAGTTGCCAACTTAAACAGACTTCTTGGTAATGCCTAGAGGTGCTCATGTATAAGTTTGTCAGTAGTATTTTCAATACAAAAGAGCACCTATGTTTCAGGATTTGCTATGTGTTGTTTTTCTCTGGAAAACATCCGGACTGTATCACACTGTAGTATTATTCAGCACTCAGAAGTGCAAATACCTCTTCCAGAATTGAGAAGAATGAGAAAGAGAGGTGCTGTTGAGTTAACAAAAAGACATTATCTAAGTGTGCTACTTGGAAATGGTCAACCTACTTTGAACAACATATTATGCAATCCGGAGATTTGTTTTGCATCAGTGAGCTCTGCTTTCAAATTGTTTTACATCCTTTTCATATTTCTTGACTTAGATCAATAGATTATTAGTAAGTAACTTAAATAGTGCTTCAAATAAAATGGCATAGAACAAGAGAAACTCCCTGGGACAATTTGATAGTAAATTAAACCTGAAATATGGATAAAGTCCACTTTTAATTATGTACCTGTTTCTTTGACTAGATCATAAGCTGCATGAGGTTCAGGAAAAGCATTTGCTTGTTCACCTTAGTATTTTTGGTATATATTACTATAAACTACTTGTTGATAAAATGAATTAATTAAACATGTTGTGTATGCAAGTTCAGTGTCTTTACTTGCTACCAATCTGCTCGGTAAACTTTTATTTTACTAAATAGCATTCACACAAATGTTGTCTCCTTCCCCCCCACACACATACACACACATACACACACACCACACACACACTCACACACACACACACAAATATTCTGTTTCACCATTTTCTAAATACAATTTAAGTCTGTTTAAGGTTATATTAGGTTTTGAGTAATTGTTTAAAAATTACATCATTACAATGAATTACACAGAATGTTTCTGAAAGCAGCAAACAGAATAGATGATTATAGTACATATTAACCTAAAAGAGAATAAAATGTGAAAGTGGCTGATATTCAGTGCCTAAGGACCATGTCCCACAGTTTTCTCAGAACCAGCAGCCAGGCTCAGGGCCCGCTCATAATAATCCAGGGCTTCATTTATTTTTCCTTTCAATTTGTAGACAAAACCAACAAGGCTCAGGGCTTCCAGGTCAAATGCWTTTCTCTGAAGTTTCTTTAAGGCCAATTTCTCCAAAGACTTCATACTTTGATTCCTTGAATGTGATTCTTTTTCTTTTTTATTGCTTTTAAGTAATGCCTAATTGCATCAACTTCAGATTTCTTTTGAAATTCCTGAAATTGGCCATAGTAGAAATGTGCATCTACCAGTACTTGATCCTCATCTGTTTCCATCACTAACAATTTTTGATAGCTGTCTTCAGCTTTTCTGTAATCCTTTGCTTCAACATACATACGTGCCAAGTGCAGAAGAGCAAGAGCAAATGTGGGCTTTTGTTGCAGAGCAAATTCAAAATGAAATATGACTAATCTTACTATTCTGTCCACATGTTCTCTATCCTGCATGTTTTTAGCTTGCTTTATTTGGAACAGTTTTGCCCTGTAGCAAAGCCCCATCTGGTGATGCAGAAAGGCAGAGTTGGGTGTTGCCTGCAAGGCCTTCGCCAAGAGCTGAATAGCTTTATCCACACAGCCCTTTCTTCGGTAAAACTTGCTCGCATATCGAAAGACATAGGTCTGGGAGGAGGTATTGTTTAGAGCTTCCTCAATGTAGTGTTCTCCCTCAGTTTCCTGTCCTATATCCTGGAGCTTCAGGGCAAGGAGAACCTTAACATATGGATTATCTGGATTTAGCTGGACAGCCTTTCTCAGGGGGCCAAGAGAAATTACATTATTGTAATTCAGGCGGTAGACAGTGATGGCAAACCCCGAATAGAATTCAGGGTTTTCAGGCTCCACTCTCAGAGCCCTTTCGAAGCAGGCCTTGGCCCGCTCATAATTTTTTTTCCCACACTTCAGCAAGGCCCATCCTTCCTCACACTCCATCTCAGGAGACTCCAGCCTGTAGTGGGAGGGACTTGCGAACTTCTTGCAAGTGTCCTCCACCTTGTCCAGGTAAGTCTGGGCTTCTGCCAATCTGCCCATGTGGTGATACACCCAGGCAYAGTTGCCCCAGGTCACCAGGCTCCTCAGGTCCACCTGGTCTGCGTGCTCCCKCTGGACCAAGTCTTCAGCTTCTCTCAAGCTCTGCAGGGCTTTCTCATCTTGGCCTTTCACATGCTTCACATAGGCCAGGAGGTTGTGAATCCCCACATTGTTTTTCGTGTCTAGGAACTCAATCTGTTCCAAGATCCTGCTTTCTAAATTCGGTATTTCACTGTCTTCAAATTGCAGATCCCACGTGAAGTGACATCTCAACTGCCACAGCCTGTCCTGGATCTCATCAGTGTTCTCACTGTGAAACCAAAGCAGATTTTATTTTTTGAGTAAGGAACAGTCATAAGAAAAAGCCCAATAAAACATCCTGTTCAATTTTAGTTCTTATTCTGAAAGTGTCACATTTACAGAAATTTTACTTAGAGTTCCCTGGATTTTTAAAATATGCAGGAACAATGAATGTAATTTGTGTGGCTTTCTAAGGTGTTTACAGCCCTTTCTAGGCAAGTAACCACTCTGTTCTTCAAGGTCACATTTGCAAAACTGTGATAACATTAACACTTGTCATGCTAGGCTCCGAGAGGATTCATAAGTCTACATATGGAAACTATTAAAGTTTATTTTATGCTATGTAAAACTTCTTATTTAACTGAAAACAACGGAGACCAGTTAGAAAGGCAGAACTCCAGTAAACATTATTGACTTCAGGACTGCACTGTGCATGGTATTCAGCCAATGAAGATGACTGAAATGAGAAAATATTAGACAGTTTTTTTCCCTTCACTTTTTACTTGGAAATAATGATAGGTTCACAAAAGTTGTGAACATAGTACAGAGATACAATGTATTTTTCACCCAGTTTCTCTCAATGATAAGTTACACAGCTATAGTACAAAATCAACACTACAAAATTGACATGGCACAACAATGAGTTTAGGTAAACTTGGCTATTTTTTTCATGTGAGTAAACCTCTAGAACYGCCACCTTGATCAAGATACAGAATCACCTCATCACCACAACATCACCTCATGATACCCCTCTACAGTCACACCTGCGGCCTTCCATTATATTGTTGAGTTGACATAACATGTTGTTCTTCATGTCTGTAATTATGTCAACTCAACAATATAATGGAAGCTTGGTTCAGTGCTGCACAGCTGTTATTCCAGCTACCCAGGAGACTGAGTCAGAAAGATAACAAGTTCAAGTCCGTCCCGGGCAACGTAGTGAGATCCTGTCTCCATATAACTTAAAAAGGGCAGAGGGTGCAGCTTAATGATCAAATGCTTGCCTAACATGTGTCAGGCCCTGGATTTAATCCCCAGCATTTCCCAAATGTCATTTAAATGGATAATGTCATAGAAAGGGGTGGTTCAACACATGAAAATCGTTAATGTAATATACTTTTTAATCAACTGTTGTGTCACTGTGACTAAAAGACCTGACAAAAACAATATAGAGAAGAAAAAGTTTATTTGGAGCTGCAGAAAGGCAGAGTTGGGTATTGCCCACAAGGCCTCTGCCAAGAACTGAATAGCTTTATCCACACAGCCATTTCCTTAGTCAAATTTGCTCACATATTTTAATACATTTGAGGTCTCAATACACTTCAGAGGTCTCAGTCCATAGGCAGCTGACTCTACTGCTCTGGGCCCGAAGTGAGGCAGAACATCATAGCAGAAGAGTGTGGCAAAGGAAAGCAGCTCAGGACATGGGAAACAGGAAGCAGAGAGAGCTGTTCTCACAAAGGACAAAATGTAAATCCCAAAGGCACACCCCCGGTGACCTACTTCTTCCAGCCACACCCTACCTGCCTATAGTTACAATTTATCAATGGGTAAATTCATTGATTAATCTCTGAACATTCTTGCATTGTCTCACCACATATGGGACACCTCATATCCAAAACATAACACATACCATAAATGGAATGAAAGAAGAAATCACAACTGTCCAAATTAATGAAGAAAAGCAGCTGGAAAAAAATAATAACAAACCAGAAACATTTGCATGATGAAAACACTCAACAGAGAGTAACTGAAGGAAACTTCCTTGACACAGTAAAGGCTCTTTATGAAAACCCCACAGATATAGTCATCCTGAATGGTGAAACACTGAAAGCTTTTCCTCTAAGATCAGGACTAAGTCAAGTATGCCTCCTTTCATCTCTTCTATTCAACATAGATCTTATATGTGCAAGACCGTCAGGATTCTGCACACACACACACACAAATGTTACAACTAATAAGCAAATTAGGCAAAATGGAAGGACATAAAATCAATATGTAAAATCCAGTTGTGTTTCTATATACAATAAAAATCCAAAAACAAATGAAAAAATCCCACTTTTGATAACATAGAAAAGAATAAAATACCTTGAAAAAAATTAACTAAGTTGATAAAAGACTTGTACACTGAAAACTACAAAATGGGCCAGATGTGGTGGCTCAYACCTGTAAACCCAGCTACTTGGGAAGCTAAGGCAGGTAGGTGGATCACAGGTTCAAGGCCACTTTGGGCAACATAGTGAGACCTTGTCTCAACATATAAAGTAAATAGGGCTGGGGATATAGTTTTGATTTTAAAACTTACTACAAATCTACAGAAATCAAAACATTCTGATATGGGCATCAAGACCATATGAAAGAACACAGAGATATATAGACCACTGGAAGAGAATGGAAAGTAGAGCAATGTAAGAGAATAGAGATCCCCAAAATAAATCCTTGAATATATGGTTGTATTAGTCAGCTCAAGCTGCCATAACAAAATATCATCATCAACTGGGTAGCATAAACAACAGAAATTCATTTTCCCACAGTTTGTGAAGCTAGAATTCCCACATCAAGGTGCATGCCTTTATGGATCAAAAACCTAAAAGTGAGACTAAAACTATAAGCTTTGAGGGAATAGCTTCATAACATTGCATTTGATAATGCTTTCTTGGCTTTGATCCCAAAATCACAGGAAATGAGAGAGAGAGAGAGAGAGAGAGAGAGAGAGAGAGAGAGAGATATGCTGGACTTTATTAAAATTAAGAACTTTTGTTCATCAAAGAACACCATTGACAGAGATAACACAACTCCTAGAATGATAGAAAATATTTGCAATCACTATATGAAATGGGATGCATATTCAGCATGTGTAACAACCTCCCATAACTCACCAACAAAACCACAAGAGACCCATTTCACAAATGGGCAAAGACCTTGAAGAGACATTATCCAAGGAAGAGTTACAAAGGGCCAGAAATTACAAGAAAATATGCTCAGCATCCTTAGTCACTTGAAGAACACAAATCAAAGCCACAAAGAGACCCAACCTCTTACCTGTAACTGAGCAATAAAAAAAAAAAAAAAAAAAGGGACAGGGGAGGAACATAGCCAGTGAATTGTGAGAATGTAGAGAAATTGGATCCCTCATACATTGCTGGGTGAGAATGTAGAATGCTAGAGTTGTTATGGAAAAGAGTTTGGCAGTCCCTTAGTAAGTTAAATTTACAATTGCCTTATGATTCACTACAGAATATAATTTTTTTTATTGAATTACACATCAGAATATATGCTCAAAATAATTGAAAACATCACTTGTATTTGTATATTCATTCTCAGCACCATTCACAATAGCCAAAAGGTTAAAACTATGCAAATGTTCATTAATTGACGAATGGATAAATAAAAAGTTATATACCCACAAAATTGAAAAAAATTTTAGCCATGAAAAGCAATGAACTATTCACACCTGATATAACACAAGTGAACATGTAAAACATTGGGTTAAATGAAAGAAGCCAACCATGAGTACCCTGTTTTATTTTTTATTTTTGTAGGTGGGAGGGCAGTGGTTTGAGAGGGCTCTCATGATGGTGTCTACAAACTCTAGTCCTGCTCTGAGGAGACTTCAGGCATTTGTTCATGGATGTTTGCAGTGTGTCTTCCAGGGGTACATCTATATTTGGGTGGACAGTCCAATGCCTGAATATCTGATCCATGACCAGGTGCCCCCTTATAGCAAATCTGTAGACACTGGCAAAATCCATAGTGGCTGTTTTTCTGGCTTTGTCCTCTTCATTCACACCTGAGTATATACTCTCTGAGGCAGCTCTGACCTGGAAAGAAGTGAACTGCAGGTTTGTTACCCAGGTGAAACACAAGAGGGCAACTCAAACAACATATGAAATAACAGAAGAAGTCCACCACTTATAAATCCCAGAGAAAAGAGGGCAAGATGCCTTTCAGGGACAATAGGAAGTAGGGAGCTTCAGGGACATTGATGCTCAACCAGTGGGTGGGGACCAAGAGGGAAAGAATATCACCAGGCTCTTCTCATACGGGCCCAATCCTTTATTAGGGTCCAAGACGTCACTCAGGTTGAAATCCTGCAGAGAGTTCTAATTGGTGGGCTTAGAGCAAGCTGGTTCCAGTTCTATGAGACCATGGTGTCACTGAGAGGTGGACACTGTGGCATATCTGCCCAGTCTGGGAAGGGCTTAGGGGTCAGTAGGATGAATCTCCTAAGGAATTAATTATTGACCGGTCCCAAAGAGAGGTCCCACAAAACTGGTTACCAGGAGAAATTTGCAGAAGGCAGATGTCTGGATCAGTCACCCTGAGGAGCTGGGAGTTAATAAAGAACTGGGAGCTGTGTCAAGGGAGACTTAGCTCTGTTTCCACATGAGAAAGGCCAACTGGTCTTCAAAATGGAGGCTGAAGGCAACATAAAATTGAAAGAATCCATTCCAGCCACATGTTATATGTGCCCATTCATATGACAGAGCCAAACAGGCAAATGCAGAGACACAGAAAGCAGATGAAAGTTTGCTGGGGCCTGAGCGAGGCCGAGTAGGAAGTCAAAATGTGTACGAGGTGTCTTCTCATAGTTATTAGATGTCCTTGAACTACATGGTGGTGATGATGCTCACACAACATGGTGAAGGTGCTAAATACCAGTGAATTTTAGAGTTTGAAAAGTTAAAAATGACAAATTTTATCTTACATGTTATATTATCCTAATAAAAAAAACTCATGCTGCTAACCTAAATAGAAATTTTACAAATTATATAACTTAAATATTATATATGACATATATAATAATTTTTTCCTAGCATAGGTTGAAATTAACRTTAAATCATCAAAATGTAACAACATATTAGGATGCCACCTGAAGTGATGTCATGCAAACCCACTGTAATTCTATGGGAAACTTCAGTTTAATAGTTTAATAAACAGACTTATTCATATCCAAACTCTACTTCTTATTGTCTGTGTAATCATTACATTTCAAGATCTAAGATTCCATATTGCAAAGTCATAATATAGGTACCTGCCTCTTTGTTTTTTTCTTATGATTAAATATAATAATTTATATTATCCTGTTGGAAGCCAGACTGGCACTTAATAAGCATTCAGGGAGTGATAACTATTTTTGCAATGTTTATGCTTAATTGATTATTTTAGGCAGTGACTAATCTGTTTTTGCAGGAGGGTTGATCATAGACCTGTGGTTGTGTGATTTCTGGAAATTCTTCCCCTCCCAACTTTTTCCCAGTGGAACTCTGAGGGGACATTTGCAAGTTAATGTTAACTGGTGATTTTTTTTATCTGCTGATCACAGGAGTTACTTGATTCAGGATTCAGTTGGGACCATAGAGAAATTCCCATTGGGCCCTTCTGGTAAGGAAGATGTGAATGTTCTTAAGCACGGACCGGCAGGGACTGGAGGTCACAGGAAACGTGATGTGCTCACCTTCAGTCTAGTCAGAGCTTCATCAGAGCTGGTCCCTCAGAAGATGAGTTGAGGAGTCTCCGGAGGAAGGCCATGAGCTTCTCACCCCATCCCCACAGTATCTCCCCAGGCATCTGGGAGGCTCCATTGAACCTCACACTACTGTGTGGGTCCTTTCCCACCAAAMTGAGGAGTGAGGAGAAAGAGATGTCTCTGACCTGACAAGCTGATCTCTTTTCCCTAGATGGGCAATAGTGTGAGGAAAAAGAATTTCTGATTCTGGGATCATTTTCTCTCTTCTTGGGAAACTCTTATCCTCTGTCCTACGCTTCTCCAGGAATTGCATGATGAATGTAGTTACATAAGTTCAACAGAAATGAAAATACTTACACTAATACAACAGCTTAGCTGTGGCTATGAATGTCCTTGCATGTGTGCACACACACACACACACACACATTATGAGTGGATAATCAAATAGAAAAATTAGAAAGCTTGATCTCAGAGAACTAACCTGCTGAGAGAGTATTAACACTTAGACATAATGGCCAAAAAGCAAAGAAATCCTTACCTCATGGTTGCTGTGAATGAGCCTGCAGTTCTGCAGTGTTTTCAGTTCGGTGGGCTTCTCAGAGATCTGGCGGTCTGTCTGTAGATATGCTCATAAATTGGAAGCCCAGGACAGGGATTTATAAGGAACAGACGATGTAATCTGCAGATGTGTCCTTGCAATTGCAGATTAGAAACTGAAAGTGGAAAGTGAAACTAAGCCTGGCAAATTCCTGCTCATAGAAACTGAAACCTCAGCCGAGGTGGAGATTCCTTCTTTGTTTCCTCCTGAGAACTGGTTGAGAGAAGGCTGGTGACAAAGATTGTCCTAAGGTGTGAATTCCTGTCTCCCAGCCTGGGGGACACTCTGGGTGTAAGGATGTGGGAGTTACTTCAGAGTCCCCTGAGTCAGGAGGACCTATGGAAATGGCTGTGTGAACTTGGAGAAGTCATGCCTCCCCCTCTGCTCCTGTTTGCCCATCTGGAACCAGGGATTGTTCAGACATGGCATAGAATTCTGTAATTCTCTGAATGGGAGTCTTATTCCAAGTGTGCTGCCTTTCTCTGAGAGGTTGTTTTACTAAGTAGTCTATCTTTTGCTTACCTTCTAGAGAGTCCAAAATGATCTATTAACCTCTTGTTTATTCATAGGAAGAGAGAAGCCCAATGTGCCAGCATTCTGAGCCTTCAAACAGAGCATATTAGGACTGAATGACGACGTGTTTCCCAATGCTGATGCTCTCTAGTCTAGCCACCTAAGGCAGTGGGATTCCCCAGAAATGGTTCTCATAGCCATGCATACGAGAACATTCTTCAGAGCTGTGTGAAATCCTCCTGGTGTCATGAAAACTGTCCTTGCTCTGCTTTTACCTACCTGTGCAATCTTCTTAGTTTGTGAGCAGAGCTCAGGAAGAATACCCCTGTGCTGAGTGTGAGATTGTGGGTACAATTTTGGTTCTTAATACTGATATTCTGCTGAGCTCTGCTTTTCCTAACTTTCTCTGGAAATTTCTCCCTTTTCCTGGCAGGTGTGGTGATGTCATGGCTCTCCAGTAGCTTACAGAGAGCAAACTCACCCCAGCCTCAGTTTATTTAATCATGGCAAAGCCCCTTATTGGGAGGAGATGTCAGACTTGCTTCCCTAGAAAACTGAACCTGAATGTGCTGGGCCTGTCATGTATAATTTGGATACTACATAATTTTCCTTGTGGCTATGTGATGGTTTGGAACCACCATGAGCACAGAAGACAAAAAACCTGAGGCCTTAGCCTTGACCTGTCATTCATTAGAAGAAGAATTGTATTCAGAAAGGCTGCAGAACCCCAGAGGCCTTAATTCCCCAATCTGTCATTCCTTTGATAGGGAGGTGTTTTTTTTTTTTTTCTTTCTCCTTCTTTCCACAGTTTCAACAATCTTATCTCAATGACTGGGAGGGCCATAAGAGCTAGTGCACCTCAAGATTCAGAACATTGATATCATAAGGTCTCTAAGAAGAAACTAATTATCAACTGATCCATATCTTTCATAAGGAAGAAATTTCTTTAAAAATTTTGACACTCGTTTCAGATAAGAAATACCAGACCCAAGGCACCTCCTCAGCAACTTGGTCAAAAGCTGCCCTTTCCTTTGAGGAGTGGCTTAGTTCCCCTTGTCAATCAGAGCTGTCTCCCTTCCACTGAAGGCTCAATCCAAGCTTTCCCTCTGTAGGCTCCTGATACGGGGCTCAATCTCATATCTTTCATTTCCCAGCCCAAAGTTCCCACCTCTGGTTAATGGTCTGAAAAAGAATAAAAACAGAGGACTCTTGTTTATAAACAGAGGTGAATATCACGCAGTCAAGCAGAGGCAGAGAGAATTGGAGATAAGAGATGGAAATTTCTGAAGGTGCCTTTTGCCCATGGCTTTATGCTTAAGAGTCAAGGGATAAGAACCAAGTACTGTTTTTTTTTTTTTGTTTGTTTGTTTGTTTTTGACATTTTCAGGTGTGTGCTGAGTAACTGAAAGCATATTACCAGTAACTGTGCACCTGGACCATAGATATTTCTAGTGTTACAGAAATCCAGTCATTGGCTAGCATTTGCACCCACATCTGCCTCTTTCCCTAACAGGGAATATCAACCTGAGATAAGGATTTGAGAATACAGAAAAAAGAAAGATATAATGAATCTCAAAAGCACTGAGTCTCAATGACCCCTTGGAAACAGGAAATTCCCAGGAACCTTTGAAATGTACAACGAGAAATTCCTGAGCAACCTGGTTCATGTCCATGCCCCTCTTCTTCAGCCCAGGTGCTAGCCTACCAAAAGTAACAGGAAATAAGAAAGCACAGGGAAAACTGGTATGAAATTGTGTAACTCCACCCTGACTCCTCTAGGTCAGCCTCTTGTTACTCCCCCTCTATACACATTAACACCTCAGAACAAGGGGCTGCTCTTCATTCTTCTGCAGATGGTTCGTGTTCTCCCTTGAACGTGTGTTCCTTGCTTTACCCCCAAGGCCTCTCACCCTTGAGATAGGCCACCTTCTCTCTTGAATGTGCATCTGCTTTCCTAAATAAATCTCTTTGTGTCTCTGGCTGGCATGTGCTGAAATTCTTGTCCATCACCTATGCCAAAGACCCCACTTGTCCTGAGTTGAGGTCCTTCCTCAGGGAACTCTTCTGGTAGCCAGCTCATTGTGGCCTCTCATGGAGGCCAGTGTCTGGAATCTGGATGACTGCACAGAAAAGGGAGAATTTCAGGAGGCAGCTCTGCTTTTGTGTGCAATTCTTGGGCAGAGACACAGGGCATGGGGGCAATATTTATTAGTGCCAGCACTGGCCCAGGGATTTGTATCCAAAGGCTGAGCCTGGAGTGCAATTGGGGCATTGCCTTATATACCCTTTACTAGTTTCTTTTACATGTTAGCCCCTTTGTCTCACATATATGGTAATATACAGTTTGGTTAGGTATCCTAGGCCACAAAGAGTTGCAATAAACTTGCAACAGACACCTATACATAGAGAAACTGACTATGCCTAGTTGCCTTGTCTTGTCTCTCAGGAGGGCTCTTACCACACTCTCACTTGGCCTTCTGCCTGCTGAAGGCACATATAACACATAAAGGTGTCCCCTTAATGAAGTAAAAAGCATTCTAGTTGTTACATTTGGTGTCAGTTTGACAGAAATAAGCAATCAACCTTGTTTAGAAATGAAGTGTTAGAGCTGGGCATGGTGATTCACTCCTGTAATCCCAGAGGCATGGGAGGCTAAGGAAGGAGGATTGCAAGTTCAAATTCAAAGTCAGTCTCAGCAATTTAGGGAGGTCAGAAGCAACTTAGCAAAACCATGTCTGTATTAAAAAAAAAAAAA